AAAAAAAAAAAAAAAAAAAAAAAAAAACACAAAAAACAAACAAGAGGCAGAAGCTTTCAGATGACACTAATAGAAAGCTAGATGAGCTAAACAAAGTGATACAAAACATGTATGTACCAAAGAGAGTCCATTAAAAGGTTTCAATCATGAAGAGGTTTAATCCAAGACATTAAAACTCCTACTAAAAATATGGGCAGCAGAACTGACCAGTGTGAAGACAGAATTTCAGAACTAGAAGACAATGATGCCTTCAAAGACCAGACACCTTAAAAACAAGAGAAAATGAAAAATGGATCCAACAGCTGCAAGAGGACGCAAAGATGACTCATCTAAGAATAACTCGAATAAGTAAAAAATTAGAATATAGTACAAATAGCATAAAAACTTCTTTACAAAAGAATGGCAGAAAACTTTCCAAACACAGGGAAACAACAGATAAGTGATGTATGTAGGACCTCAGTTTGCCATGACCAAAAGAGAACCTCTCCACACCGTACTATACCATACTCAAAATGCCAAAGTCCATCAAAGGAACAAAACTTTAAAACTTGTCAGAGAAAGGAAATGAGCACAAATAAAGGTAAAACCATTAGAATTATAGCAGATTTCTCTATGCAAACTGTAAAGGTCAGGAGGGCTTGGAACAAAGTGTTTCATGACCTAAAAGACAACTTCCAACACCAATTTATGTAACCTGCAAAACCTTTCTTTCAAAATTTATGGAGAAATAAGATTTCCATGACAAAGAGCACCTGAAGAAAGTCATGACCACTAAACCAGTGGAAAAGATTCTCAAGGAGCTTTGTGTTGTGGCAGTGTCATAGCCAATGAGGTTTATCCAAGGTGTGGTTATTGCTAACTGAAAATTCTCAAGGATATCCTAGAAAAAGACAATGAAGTCAACAATGCCAATAATTCAAAAAGAATGAATACACCTCTCAGGATAAGCAGCTTAGCAAAAGGAAATAAGCAACAGGAAAATAGTGAAATGACAGGAATAAGTCAGTACTTCATCATAAGTCTCAATGCGAATGGGCTCAGTTCCACTCACAAGACACAGATTGGCAGAATGAATGAAGAAACCAAACCTAATGGAGCCAGAAATGGTGGTACACGCCTGCAATCCTGGCACTAGGGAGGCTGAGGCAGGAAGTTTGCCATAAGTTCAAGGCCAGCCTGGGCTACATAGGAGTTTAAGGCCAGTATGAATGACACAGTGAGACCCTGTCTTAAAGCCAACGAAGCAACCAACAAACCCCAATGAAGTATACAAGAAACACATAAAAAGAAACTCACAGATTAAAGACCAAAGGATGGAAAACAATATCCCATGCCATGGAAACCCAGAAAAAAAGCAGAAGAAACTATTTTAATTTTAGACAAAGTTGAATTTCAAGCCAAAACTAATCAGAAGAACTAAAGAAGGTCACCACATATTGGTTCAGAGAACAATTCAGCAGAGGAGAGAACAAATATAAATATATATGCACTAAATACTAGCACTTCCCCCTTCGTAAAACAGACACTAATGGACATAAACAAAATCAGATAACACCAATACATCTGTAATGGGGCACCTCAATATCTGGCTATCACAAATGGACAGATCAACTAGACAAAAAAATCAACAAATATCAGAGTTGAACCAAATTTTCAAACAGATGGACCTAATAGATTTCTACAGAGTGTTCCATCCAAAAACAACAGAATACACATTCTTCTTAGCAGCACATGGGAATTCATCCAAAACAGACTACATGCTAGCCCATAAAGCATGCTTAAATATATGCAAAAGTATCAAAATTATCCCATGCACATTATCAGATCATAGTGCAATGAAACTAGAAATCAATGGCAAAGGACATCACAGAAACTACACAAACACATGGAAATTAAATAGTACCCTCTTAATGAATGGTTCACAGACAAAATTAGAGAAGAAAATAGACAGTTCCTACAATTAAATGATAGTGCCAGTATGACATACTGGAAAGTTTGGGACAAAATGAAAGCAGTCATAAAAGGGAAGTTTATAGCAGTGAATTCTCACATCAGGAAAACCAACTGAGCTCAAATAAGTAACCTAATGATGCACCTCAGGATCTTAAAAAAAAAAAAAAAGAACAATCCAAACCAAGACTGTATGAGGAAGGTAATTATAAAGATCAGAGCAGAAATTAGAACTAAAAAACAATGTAAAGAATCAATTGAAGAGTTACTTTTTTGGAAGATTAAACAAAATAGAAAAACCCTTAGGCCATCTTACCAAAACAAGAAAAGACCCAATTTATGTACTTAGAAATGAAAACGGTGAAATCACAATGGATTCTACCAAAATCCAGATCATCGGTAACTAATAAAATGGAAAATTCAGAAAAAACGGATAAAATCCTAGAGACATATGAACTACCAAAGCTGAACAAAGAAAATGTAAAAATCCTGAATAATTCCATGTGAGTTAAAGAAATTTAAGTAATCAAAAAATTACAAGCAGAAAAAGCATTTGACAAAAATCCAACATCTTTTTATAATAAAAACTCTGAAGAAAATAGGTATAGAGGTCATTATCTCAATCTGATAAAAGCCATTATGTTAAACCAACAGCCAACATCATACTAAATGGAGAGAAGCTTTCTTTCTTTCTTTCTTTCTTTGATTCTGGGGATTGAACTTAGAACCTTATGGATGAGAGGCAGGTGCGGTGCCACTGAACTAAATCCTCACCAGAAAGTTTCCTTTCTTAAATCAGGAATAAGACAAGGATCATCACTCCTGTTCAATATAATTTTTGAAATATTAGCCAGAGCAGCCAAGAAAGAGAAAGCAATAAAAAGGATATGGGTAGGAGATGAAGAAGTTAAATTATTCTTTGGAGATGATATGATTTTCTAATAGAAGACTCCAAAAACTCCACCAAAAGATTCCTAGAATGAATAATAAAATTCAGTAGCATAGCAGTATACAAAGTCAACACTCAAAAATCAATAATATTCCTGTACACCAATAACAAACTCATTAAGATAAAAATTAGGAAAACAGTACCTTTCACAGTGGCATCACAAAGGTGAAATACTTAAGAATTAATCTAACTAAGGAAATGAAAGACCTCTACAATGAAAACTACAGTACTCTGAAAAAGGAGATTGAAGAGGATATCAGAAAATGGAAAGATTTCCCCTGTTCCTGGATAGACAGAACACATATAATAAAAATGGCTATACTTCTGAAACTGTTTTACAGATTTAACACAATCCCAATCAAAATACCAATAACATTCCTCACAGAACTAGAGAAAGCAGTCCTAAAATTCATACGGAACCAGATGAGACCTAGAAGAGCAAAAGCAATTCTGGGCAACAAGGGCAACACCATGGATACCATAATCCTAGACTTTAAGTTATCTTACAAAGCTACAGTGATAAAAACAGCATAGTATTGGCAAAAAACCAGATTTATTGGTCACTGGGACAGAAGAGAAAAATGCAGAAACAACTCTAGGCACACTAAGCTATGATATCTTTGACAGAGGGGCCCAATTGCTTCGCTGGAAGAAAGACAGCCTCTTTAACAACTGGTGCAGGGAAAACTGGCTTTCTACATGCCGAAGATTGAACCCAGACCCATCTCTTGCATAATGCACTAAACTAAAATCAAAACAAACCAAAGATCTAAATTTTGAACGGAAACAATCCGCTGGAAGAAACAATCGGTAAAACTCTTGATAACATACGTGTAGGCAAAGATTTTCTGAACAGAACCCCAGTTGCACAAGAAATAATACCAAGAATCAACAGATGTAATCACACCAAATTACAAAGCTTCTGTGCAGCAAACTACCGAAGGAGTGATGAGACAACATATAGAACGAGAAAAATTTTTGCAAGCTACTCCTCAGACAGAGGACTGGTATCTAGAATATACAAAGAACTAAAAAAATTAGCCTCCATACATTTAAAGACTCAGTCAAAATGAGCATCTGAAATTAACAGACACTTCTCAGATACAGAAGCATAAATGGCCAGTACAATGCACCACAACTTGTTTCTCCCGTCTAACTCTTGCAATGCCTGTTAGTCTTTCTTTCCCCCCTCTCTTCCTACCGTTCTTCTCTCCCGAGCCTTTGGTAGTCACTATTATACTTTCAACTTCTGTGAGATCAACTTTTAAAGATTCAGCGTATGAATGAGATCACGCAGTACTTGTCTTTCTGTGCTGGGTTGATTTTACATAACTCAGTGATCTCCAGTTCCACCAGCCTGTTATATCTGACAGGGCTTGATCCTTATGGCTGAGTGGTGTTCTACTGTGTGTGTGCCCCGCGTTTTGTTTACGTGTTCATACACTGATGGACATCTGGACTCTAGATGTCGTGCTTTCTTTCCATCACCTCAAAGTATGTTTCTGCAGCTGCCCCTTCTCTAGTCCCATATTTTCTCTTCTCTTCTAGAGCATTCCCATCAACATCCTGGATTAATGCGGCACATCTCAAAGAACACAAACAACACTAGCCCCGTAGAAATTTCTCTTGATTTCGCCCCCATTTCTAATAAACATCCATATCCTGTTCTTTTCCATTGGAAACCTTTGCCAAAGACATGCGGTGGTGACCGGTTCATGTCCTCACTGGGATGGCAGCAGTCGACATTACTGCTTGTTATTTCCTTGTGGGAGCAGCATTTCCTTTAGGCCCCCTGCTGGTCACCTGCCTTCCCTGTCGGGTCACTTTCCCTCAATCTCCTTTGCTGTCTGCCCCTCGTCCGCCATGTTTAATTGTGTGCAAACCCTGGGACCTGGGACTCACACCTGCACATGCGCCTGTGTTCTTTATGGCGTCATCGTGTCTCGAGGCTTTGAACACCGCCTGTGTGTTCACGACTCCCCAGTTTTATCTAAAACATGACACTCATCAGTTCAGTTGCTTACTCCATTCCCAAGTCTCCCCAGCATCTCACAGTTAACACGACTCGAATGGAGTTTTAGAAGCTTCACCTGGCCTACTCTGTGGCTACCATAAACTATCTTGGGACTGGACAAAGATATGAAAGTACAAAGGCCCCGAACCTAGAAGTCTCTCTTGATTCTCTTCTTTTCTCATCCAAAGCCACTCAGTGAATGAGTCCTTTTAGGGACTCCTGTCACAAAATGTACCTGGGGCATCACTACTCCTCACCACCTTTGTTGGTATCATCTCAGTGAGGACGCCCCTATTTCTTGCCTAGCTTATTGCAGTAGCCTCAGCACAATGCAACAATAAATATTAACCCTGTGATGCTCAGGGCTGCTGCAGACTTAGGAGGGGAACCGAGAGAGGACATTTCCCTGCAGACTGTAAGGACCCGAGTGCTTACAGCCTGTGAGGCAGAAGTGAGAGCGTCAGCTCTCTTGTGACTGTTAATTGTCATATGTCAGCTGGCCTGGAGTAAGAAATGCTTAGCGCATTCGCAAAACGCAGTTCTGGGGGCATCTATGGGGCGTTTCCAAAGATAATTGGCAGCTAGGCCAGCAAACTGAGTGGGGTGAGGCCCGCCCTGATTACGCGTGGTATCCACCAATAGGCTTGTAGCCTAGATGGAGTAAAAAAGGGACAGAAGAAGGAAGTGCGCCTGTTTTGAAGAGCTCCTGTCTTTTGCTGCTGTTTGTTGCCTTTAGACATCGGTCTCTAGTTTCCTCAGCTTTCCAACGCATAGCCACATCGGTGACTCTTCAGGGAGCTTCCAGACCTTTGATCTTGGACTGTGATGTACCCTTAATCCCTCTTGTTCTGAAACTTTCGTCTTGGGCTGAGCACTGACTGGATCCTGTGCCTTTTCAGTCCACAGATAACCATTGCCCCCAGTCCTGTAAGCCTCCCTGATGAAGCCCCTGGGGTGATCACACTTATATTTTCTACCAGTTCTGTGCTCTAGTGAGCCCTGGACCAGTGCACTTCTCAAG